AGGGGGGAGTTAGGTAGAATCAGGCAAGCAGGCAGGTGAGTGGTTAGCAGCCTGTGGTCCAGGATTGTGAGAGGGATGTCTGACTGCCAGTTTAGGTGCAATCCTTGGGATAGGATCTCAACCGCCAGTCGGATATCCCCCGAGGGGTCCTGGATTAGAGAGGGTGCAGGGTGAGCTGAGGGGACCCTCGGCCCTATGCACAAATTTTGTGCACTGGGCCTCTAGTTTTACAATAAATGGCACCGTGGACCTGGTGGCCACTAAGAATTAGAAAGTTTAGAAACTTGACCCGACTGAAAAGAGGTAAGAAATGGTGAAACTTGAAAATGACTTGAGTTTTTCTCACTGCACAGAATATAGTCAAACACTGCTACAGTTAAATATTTCACCCTTTGTTCTCACTGCATAATCTATCTATATATAAAAGCCTAAGTGTCTGGATGATAGCTATGACACACACTGACCACAAGGGGGCAGACGCTCAATGTAGGAGCTTCCCACTGGTGTTCAGCGTGCTCCCACAGCCAACCTCCCACAGCTGGGCAATCTCCTGTGGTCCCTCCCCTGGTTGGCTGCCCCGATCGACCCCGATCGCTGGCCAGGCCAAGGGACCCCACCCGTGCATGAATTCATGTACTGGGCCTCTAGTCTATAATAATAATCTGCTTCATGTTGATATTTACTGCTGTGCTGCTGACAATTACCTGAATGAGAAGTTGGGGTGCTATACTGGGCTGGAAAAAGTTTAGCTAAATCAGAAAACAGGTCTAATTAAGCAAGTTTATTCTATATATATTTAGCTCTCGCTGGCACCAATCACACGTGTGTGTTTCGATCTGTCATTGTCAATCATGAATTTGGTTGACACTTCTATTATAGAGAAAGGGCAAATAGCGATATTAAAATATTTCTTCTAATTCATTTCCTTTCAATGTGCATGAATCCATGCACCGAGGCTCTAGATTAAATATAAATGTTGACCTTGCAGATGCACGATACATATAAAGCTCTCCCTGGTGCCAATCATATGTGTGTTTTGATTGGTCATTGTCGATTGTAAATTTGGTTGTTTTTGTTGACTTTCAACATGAGCCACATCACGATTTATTCATTCACCATCCAACCAACCAATTGGCTGGTACATCTGATGCACACTGGCAATTTAAAAATAAATATTGACTTGCACATGTGTGATACATATAAAGCTCTTGCTTGCTCCAATCACACATGTGTTTAAATTTTATAATGCTATATTATATATACTATTTTGACATGTAATTTTTTGCAGTAACATAATTACCACACGAATATTTCATCTAATTAATTTTCTTTCAATGTGCACGAATCCGTGCACCAGGCCACTGGTCCTATATAATAAAGGGGTAATATGCAAATTGACCATCACTCCCACACAGAGATGGCCACCCACATGTGGTGAAAGATGGCCGCTCCCATGTGGACACAAGATGGCCACCACAAGATGGCTGGCAGGGGAGGGCAGTTGTGGGTGATCAGGCCAGCAGGGAAGGAGAGTTAGGGGTGACCGGGCTGGCAAAGGAGGGAAGTTAGGGGTGACCAGGCCTGCAGGGGAGGGCAGTTGGGGATGACCAGGCTGGAAGGGCATGGCACTTAGGGGCGACCAGGCTGGCAAGGGAGGGCAGTTACGGGTGACTGGGCCAGCAGGGTAGGGCAGTTGGGGGTGACCAGGCCTGCAGGGGAGGATAGTTAGGGGTGACCAGAAAGTCAGGGGAGGACAGTTAGAGGCAATTGGGCTGGCAGGGGAGCAGTTAGGTGTCAATCAAGCTGGCAGGGGAGTGGTTAGGGGGTGATCAGGCTAGCAGGAAGAAGCGGTTAGGGGCAATCAGGTAGGCAGGCAGGCAAGTGGTTGGGAGCCAGCAGTCCTTGATTGTGAGAGGGATGTCTGACTGCCCTTGATAGGTCCCAGATTGGAGAGGGTGCAGACTGGGCTGAGGAAAACCCCCTCCCCCATGCATGTATTTCATGCACCGGGCCTCTAGTAATATCATAAGGAGGGTCATGGGAACTCCTCCCCATCTTCAAGGCAGCAATAGTGCATTGTACCATATTGTTTCTAATATATTTGACTACTTCTCTGCTACCAACTGAAGAAAACTGCTCTTACATAGCTCATGTGTTTCCCAGCTAGCATGGTTCAGTCTTTGAGCATGGACCTATGAACCGAGAAGTCACAGTTGAGTTTGTGGTCAGGGCATATGACCTAGTTGTGGACTCGATCCCCAGTGTTGTCCATGCAGGAGGCAGCTGGCCAATGATTCACTATCATCATTGATGTTTCTCTCTCTCCCTCTCTTTCCATTTCTGAAATCAATAAAATGTGTTGTTGTTGTTTTTTTTTTTAAAAAAAGCTATGTGCTTAGTATGCACACTTAAGCAATCTCCATCTCTTAAAGTCTCCCAGTACCATATAAAAATCCAATCACAAGATTAATAGTTATCATATTCACATGCCTAGAGATTGAAGTTTGTGGACACCAAGAAAGAGAATTCTTGAGGACAATGTAATTCTGCCTTAATTAAGCACCTTCACCTTACCTTTGACTCTGTCATTGACTATCCTACTAGTTACAGAACTCGTACTTCATACAGAAGAAAACCAAAGGGGTTGTAATTTTTCAAGTATAGCAAAATAATTTATGTTCCTATAGTTTTGCACAATCAAACGCTCATTGAAATAATTCACAAGCAGTTCAAAATTCTGTTCAGTGACCACTTACCTCAATAGTGGACAGTTGCTTTACTGTGTATATATGTTTATCCATAGCAATCCAAGTCTGCAAAGAAAAGTTTACTTCCAGTCATAATGAACTTCCCATTGTTTATTGTCGACGGATGAACCATTGTTAATCTTATGACTGATACAGGAACCTCGATAATACTGGATTTCATATTTGAAATTTTCCAGCAGAGTCTGACTTAAAAATTCTCATCAAAGAAAAAACAATTCTTTCGACTATGTAAGGTTAACCAGACATTGTGGTGATCATTAGGCCATATATACAAATAGTACCGAATTATTATGTTGCACACCTGAAACAGATATAATGTTATATGCCAATTTTTAAAAATACAGGAGTCTTGGAGTTCTTGTCTGCCAACCCTATCATTTCACAAATGTTGAGCCTGAATCCATGGGAATTAAGGAACTTTTTCCAGGTCAGACCAAGAGTTGGTCTTAACTGGGACTAAATTGAGCTTCCTGATCCTGGTCCAGTTTTCCATGCCCCAGTCTACTCTGATGTCATCTGACAGATTCTTCCAAGAGGATCATAGTTGGAAATTCACTTCTTTTCTAACAGCCTCTTTCCTTTGGATTTCTCTACATTTCTGGACAGGGCACCATAAAGAAAAAGAAGAAAGATTTCTTGTTGCAGAATGAAGAGGCATCTGCCAAATATTGTGAAGCTCAGCTTAGACAGCTTTCAGAGTCACTGTTGGAAAATATTTCCAGAGGAACTTTCTCTGTGCCAGGAGGATACAATCTCTACATAAAAGAAATGGACAAGGTTGAACATTCCTATAACCTGATATCCAAGAAAGGAGTGAAGGTGAGGAATAAAAAGAGGGGATAAGAACAGCAGATGGGTGTCAGAGGGTCTTTGTTGATTCTTTTGAAAATCTAAGGGCACAGGACCATTTATGAATAAACAGCAAAGTGTGACGATATCTGTACATCAGTAAAATTCTTTTAAATTAACCAAAAATATGTTTTCCCAAATATCGGATTTACTGTCAGGAATGTAGATGGAAGAGATTATGCCTTTCATTTAGGAAACAATGTAATTATTTTGTGCTATGTACAAGGATACATAATTAAAGAAACAATATTCTCAAGAAGTTTATGACCTTCCCTAAGAAAAGAAATATAAACAGTCAATTGAATGTGGTGGGATAATGATTATCATATAGATACAAAAATAGTCATGTTGAAAATGATCATAATGATGATGGTGATGGTTGATATATATTGAGCACACAGTTACTAAACCAAGTATATTCTTAAGTGCTATGTTTGGATTATCAACTTAATCTTCAATATAATATGAATTAGGTAGTACTGTCATCTCCATTATGCAATTGAGAAATGTGGTGCACTAAGAAGCTAACTAGTGGCCTAAGAATACAGAACCAGCAAATGATAGAGCTGGTAGGGCAGGTCTGTATACCTGGCAGCCAATCAAATCTCAGAAAGAAGTTCATCAAAACTTCCTGGAAGAGGAGGTAGAAGCTATAAATTAAGATATCAATAAATTTTATCTGAGTAAGAAAGGGTAAATGAGCATCCAGTCAGAAGAAAAAGAATGTGCAGATATTGCAAAAATGGAGGATGAGTTTTTGTAGGATTGCATATTAACCTGGTTGTCTGTAACCTGGGGTGGGGGGTGGCTGGCATCATTAGGACAAAAAACTAGAGAGCTAGGAAAGAGGTTGCCAAAGAGGGTTTTATTCTCACTAAAAATGTTGGATTTTTAAATTGTGACTGTGAAAGGAAGGAAACCACTGTGGGATCCTAAGAAGGATGAAGAATTTACGGAGCCAAATGTGCAATTATTGAACAATGACTTCCCCAGCAAGAAGACTTTCTTGTTTCCTTAGGCAAAGGAGGTCCTCCAGAGCTTCCTGCAGTCACAGGCTGCAACAAAGGAATCCATTTTCCAGGCTGACAAAGCCCTCAGTGCTGGGGAGAAGGCTCTAGCAGGTACAGGGAAGGGTTCTCTATATAGAGAAGAGGGGAGGTTCCTGCAGGGCCCTTTAATGCACCTCTCTCTCTCTCTCTCTCTCTCTCGCTCTCTCTCTCTCTCTCTCTCTCCCTCTCTCTC